TACACTCGTAATCTGCGCGCTCGCTGGATGCTGGCAACCGCTTGCATGGACGTCGCCGTTTAAACGTATAAATTATACAATTTACGCAACGTTTCTGATCACTTCATTAAATGCATTTCTGTTATCTCAATTTATGCACATCGTATTAAACGTTGATAATCCTGACGGATTCACTGACGCCTTATACATGATGTTAACCGTATTCGTCGCAGCCTATAAACAACTTTATATGTGGATAGATCGCAAGCATCTTATGTCGCTATTAAATGTTTTTACGGAGAAACCTTTTGCACCGTATGAAACACAAGAAGTGATGATTCAAGAAAAGTTTGAAAAACTAGTACAGTAAGTATAATTTTTCGGATTGTGCAACTACATAAATGCATTTACACATACACACAGTGATTAAGAATTTTAAAAGAGAAACAGTTTAAAAGAATGAATTAGATTGGGACAATGAACGTCAGGTCTTGTAAAAGTAAGCCAAATAGGCTCCTAATGATCTCTTATAATTGTACTTTATGCCAATTAAAAAAAAATTTCATGAAATAACTTATATAAATTATCTTGCACATGTTGCTACTTTTTAAAATTCCACTTAAATCATAACTCTTTTCGGAATACAGAATATATTTATTTTTTGCAATATATAGAAAATTGTTGTGGTTATTTTATAGAAATAACACATTGCGGTACTTAATCATTGTCATGATGTCAATTACATCGATAGTTTTGACATCCGTCTTTATGGATTTCACGAACAGAAGGTTGACGTATAAGGCATGGGTGCCATTTAACTACTCGTCTACTGGTTCATATTATCTTGTGTATACTCATCAGATGATAGCTATGTCAACCTCCGGTATAGTAAATGTCGCTTGTGAGAGCATTATTTTCGGACTTTTGCTGCACATCTGCTGCCAATTTGAAATTCTAGAGTATCGATTGACCAAAATCACGCATGATGAAGACATCTTGCGCGACTGTATTAATCACCACAACCGTATCTTTGAGTTAGTTTTTTTAAGCAATTTTATCACTTGAAAAATTTGATCTGCGTGATAGAGTATGTTTTCGTAATAATTCTTGTTTTTTTTTTTTAAATAGCTAAAGATTATATTGAAACTTTTTAAATAAAAAAATTATTAAAAGATTATTCAATTTGTAGCTATTGTAACAAAATATAGTGCTTGTAAAACATGCATTAAGATAAAATTAGATAAATTTGTTAAAAAATCCGTAAGTAAAAGAAATGTGTGAAGAAAATTTAAAATAGTCTGCATCTATTTTGAAAATTTGTTTAGCAAATTTAAAAATAATAATTAAAGTGATTTAGATTTAATACAATCTAAAAAGAACAGTTTCATAAATAATTTAAAAAAACTCTACTGTTTAATCGCAGATATGCGTATATAGTGAATAACACGTTCGCGAAAATAATCGCTCTCCAGTTTGCAGTGAGCATGTTGGTAGTGTGCTCGAATTTGTATCGAATAGCTATGGCGACAGATTACATGAGCTTTATTCCATTGATAATGTATACAAGTGCCATACTAGTGCAGATTTTTATCTACTGTTGGTTTGGAAACGAAGTCAAATTAAAAGTATATACATCTTGTTTAAACTATAATTTAATTTAATTATATTCTATTTATAATTCAGTATGTTTATTTCAGTATGTTTTTATGTTATTTTTTAATTTGTAGAGTCTTCATGTGATGAATAGCATTTATGAGATGGACTGGCCAGCACTTAGCAATAGCAATAAAAAAGCACTTTTATTAATCATGAAGCGTACGACGACTCCCATCGAATTTAGTAGCGCGTATATAATCACAATGAACCTTGACTCGTTTGTAGCCGTCAGTATTAATCAGTAAAAATAATGAATATTATTGCTAATTATTGCAAGAGCATGCCAAGTAATTTTTGTTGAATTTTACAGTTACTTAAGATGTCATACTCAACTTTCAATTTGCTGCATCAATCGCAATAGTAATAACATAAATAATAAACGGCAAAGTTTTGCATATTTAATTTATTATATTATAAAAACACATGCAACAGTAGTAAAAAAGCAAAAGTAGATATATTTATACCGCGTTAGAACGGACCTGTTTTAAACGGTATGTTTTAAAAGAATCTGTAAAACTTTTTTATTAAAAATTTGTGTTATTATTTATTTAAAAATTATAACATGTAAAAACAAATTTATAAAAGAATAAAGTAAATTAAGACTCTAAGTTAATATTTTATAATTAATATTTTAAATATTATAATATTCTAAGTTAATATTTTATATTTATATTAGTATTAAGAAACAAAATAAAATCAATACAAGCGTGTTGGATGTCTTATTTGTTCGGCATTCCTTCATCATTTATTACGAATACTTCAATTTTATAAAAATAATCCATTTTTTGTGTGGCTAGTTCGGACAGCTATTGTAATGCGCATAACGTTAAATATTCTAGAAAAATGACTTGCATTATATGTACTATCTGTCTTAATGTCTAATGTGCGTGCTCTATTGAGCAACACATTCAATAAATTATTTCCATACATATATCTATTTATACCTTTTTTTTGGATAGTTTTTATAAAAGTAACATTTATTATATAAATTCTCCTCCAATAGAGCATCTATCTCATATGCAAACATTTCTTCTTGATTTACAAAAATATTATTTCGAGAAAACATTACTACATGTTATATGAGTGGACATTACGCTAATGACAGAAATGATTAGGCAGAAATCTAATAAATAACATCAGAAAGTCGTGTCGAAATTCAGATTCAGAGTGCTCAGTGCTTCCTCAGTAGTGATTTTGGGATGTGCAACAATTATTCAGTCAAATAATGTCAGATAATATACTAATGTCAGTAAATACTATACAAAGTTCAAACTAGTTTTAAAACAAAATACAAACAGTGTTGTAATTTTAATAAAAATTTATGTAACTAATTAATTTAGATAAAATTGTATTAAAGATAAATGGATATGCTGAAATTTACGCTCATAATCTGCGCGCTCGCTGGATGCTGGCAACCACTTTCATGGACGTCGCTATTTAAACATATAAGTTATAAAATTTACGCAACGTTTCTGATTACTTCATTAAATGCATTTCTGTTATCTCAATTCATGCACATCGTATTAAACGTTGATAATTCTGACGGATTTACTGATGCTTTATACATGATGTTAACCGTATTTGTCGCAGCCTACAAGCAAATTTACATCTGGATTAATCGCAAGAATATCATAATGTTAATAAATGTTTTTAAGATGAAACCTTTCGCGCCATATGAACGAGAAGTAATGATTCAAGAAAAATTTGAAAAAGCATTACAGTAAGTATGATTTAAAAATTGCACCAGTAAATGTATGTATTAGTCGCGTTCTCTTTTCGTGCGATACATTTTGTAAAAAAAATATTTATTAAAAACAGTTATAAAATAATTAACGCTATACATTTACATAGTGTGTATTTTGTATCATAACTTCAGGTATACACATCACATATCTTGAATAATTCAATTTTTTTTAATTACACTGTTTTGCACTCTTTGGAATAAAAAACATATTTAATTTTATAAAATTTAAAAAAGTTTATTATTTTGCAGAAATAATACATTACGGTACTTAATCATCGTCATAATGTCGATTATGTCGATTATTTTGACGTCTGTTTTTACGGATTTCACAAAAAGAAAGTTAACGTACAAGGCATGGATACCGTTTAACTACTCATTCCCTGCTGCATATTACTTTGTGTATACTCATCAGATGATAGCTATGTCAACCTCTGGTATAATAAATGTTGCTTGCGAGAGCTTAATTTTCGGACTGTTGTTGCACATCTGCTGCCAATTTGAAATTCTGGAGTATCGATTGAAAAATATTACGCATAATGAAGACATCCTGCGCGACTGTATTAATCATCACAACCGTATTTTTGAGTTAGTTTTTTGAACAGTTTTGTTATTATAAAAATCATAATAATTGATATTTATTTTTTAAATAGTCAAAAAATTACTAGAATACTCGTAGTAAACAAATAAATACGAGGTATTATAGATTTTTTGATTGTTTTTTATCTATGAATTTTTGAATTAATTTTAAACTAATTTTATGACAGCAATTTGTAAAATAAGAACAAATTTTGATTTATAAAAAATAGAAAATTCAAAAGATTTGTTTGAAAAAGACTGCATACAAGAAAATTTTATTACAAATACAGTCATAATAACAGAATCTTATTTTTTATTTACAAGCCAAATCAAATTTAATTATTAATTTAATTTGCTTATATATTAAATCTAGTACGAATTTAACGATTAGTGAATAATAATATCAGAAATTATTAAAAAAGATATCCATTGAAATTTTCTGTTAAATCGCAGATACGCGTACACAGTGAACATTAGGTTCACAAAAATAATCGCTATCCAGTTTGCTGTCAGCATGTTGGTGATATGCTCAAATCTATGTCGAATAGCTATGGCGACAGATTACATGAGCGTTATTTCATTAATAATATATACAAGTGCAATACTAATGCAGATTTTTATCTATTGCTGGTTTGGAAATGAAGTCAAGTTAAAAGTATATATCTTGTTTAAACTAATTAAATTCAAACAATTTAACACATATAAAGGATTAATTAAATTAATTAAATTAAATTATATTCTATTTATAATTGCAATATGTGTTTATTATGTTCTTTTTTTTTATTTCTAGAGTCTTCATTTGATGAATAGCATTTATGAGATGGAATGGCCGACACTTAGCAATAATAACAATAAAACACTTCTATTAATTATGAAGCGCACGATGACTCCCATCGAATTTAATAGCGTGTATATAATTAGGATGAACCTTAATTCGTTTGTAGCTGTTCGTATCAGTTAATAAAAACAATAAATATTGATTATGTGATTGTTACAGAAAAATTATAAATAATTTTAAATATACGTTTAATTCTTTTCAGTTACTTAAGATATCATACTCAATTTCCAATGTGCTGCGTCAAACTCAAGTGTAATCACATTATTAATAAACGGACTTTACTTTTTTATTTATTGCATTAATTAAAATAATACTATTTTGTATATGCACAGCGGTTCTTTCCACAAACGTATGTACTTGTTTTTTTAACATATTTTATATATTATATATTATATGCATTGTATATATTTTATGTGCTATATTTTTAACTCAATTTCTCTTCTTTTGCACTTAAATGTGCAACATTTTCTTTAGCTAACTTATAAAAAAAGTATGTAAAAATCAACTTATCAACTCTTCCAATAATAATCGAACAACACTTTGCAGATAAAAATATATCTATAATAGAATAAATGTTTAATATTTAAACTATCTTTTGAAAAAAAGACGGTTGATAGTAAATATTAAATTTTATGATAATATTTGAGATAAAAACATTATATATGGTTTATTAAAATATCCATTTTTTACTAGTTTTACTATTTTTATTTTTACTTACTAATTTTTTTCTAGGTTTCTAGCATGCAGAAGAGAGAAAAACCATTTTTATCACATGTTGCTACGTCACTTTTTCGCTGACAATGAGTTCTAGCGTTTTACCAACATGCGGATTATTTATAAACATGCGAAATACGCGTGGCACACAGAAGTGCTAATCTATCAGCAATTATTTTGGTAAAGATATATTCTTATTGCCATTTTACGTCAATCTGCCGAATGCAACTTCAATGCAACAATATTATTTTGTTAATTGTTTGATAAATAAAAAATTGAAAATAGCACACAAAGAGACTCACAAATATTTATTCTATTCAAAATTTGAGTTTAGCTTTTTCAATGTTCTCAAAAAATATCTTTCATATGTTCAATATATCCAATTTAAGACATACACATTTTTCAGAAACTTTTTGACTCGCCCTCGTACAAATACGTTTTGTATTAAAATGACAAAATGTTTATTTAGATACTTTGGATAACTTTCGATCTGTGTTATTATGCTGCTTAGAGAAATCTGCATTCAAGGAGTAAAATTCTTTTTTTATCTCTATTTGATGAAAAGAAAGAAAAAAATATAAGAAGAACCATTATTGAACAGTGCATTATAATTTGACATATATCGACTTACGTACAAGTCGCACTCAATGTAATGACAAAAATACGCTATTGTGGAATTCAGAGTATGACCTGCTAATATTAAGATTTCATAAAGGTAAATTACACTTAATGATTTGTTAATCAACATTTGAAGATATCTGATGAAATACAGTAGAGAGGAATAAATTTAATATTTTGTTGTACAATGAAGAAACTATGATGGTTTTACTAAAGAATATATAAAATAAGTCATTTCCATCTCTTTTTTTCCCTTTTCGCTATGTCTATAAAAATGACACGATGTATTAGACGATTTATTACAAAAGCATGTATCTTATACGTTGCATTTCGATTCATGAAAATATTATTTCATGAGGACGTTGTTATAAGAAATTGTACATATAGATATTACGATAATAACGGATCAAGATACAAAGGGCTGTGAATAATATTAGAAAGTCGAGTCGCGAGACTATAGACACCCAAAGTATTCCGTTCTCTCTCAAAATTGATCTTGAAATGTATAACAAGGATTTCGCCAAGCAATGTTACTAAAAATTATTTAAACAGTTTAAATTAATTTTAATGATAGAAAATTGAATGTGGAGGCAAGCAATACGTGATACAAGCAGATCAAGCAGAAACTTTTGTAGGTACAAATGCATATTACATTGTAGATAATAATCTCAATATTAAAAAGTAAAATAAATTAAATAGTTTGCAAAAGTGAATAATTCGGGGACATAAAAACAATTTTTCTGAATAGAAATTTTTCTATTCATTTTTTTAATTTATTCTAATTTTAATAAAACATCTAATTTTTTATAATAAAAGAAAAATATTTTATAATTATAATTAATAATGTAATATTAATAACAATATAGGCAAAATTATATTAGAGAAAGACTGAAATGCGCGTGCTGAAATTCACACTCTTAGTCTGCGCTTTCGCTGGATGTTGGCAACCGTCGTCATGGACATCATTATTCAAACACATAATTTATAAAACTTACGCTATGTTTTTAGTCTCCGCGTTGTATATATTTTCGATATCTCAATTTATGAACATGATATTCAACGTTGAAAATTCTGATGAATTCACCAATTCTCTATACATGATGTTAACCGTATTCGTCGCAGGCTATAAACAAGTTTATATGTGGGTAGATCGCAAAAATATTATGGTAATATTCAACGTTCTCAATGAGAAACCTTTTGCAGCATGTGAAACACGCGAAGTAATGATTCAACAGAAATTTGAAAAAATAATACAGTAAGTATTATCAGATATGTGTAAATAAATGCATCACAGTGTCATGCTTCAATAATAAAATTACAATATATATATCGTTCTTTTAAATATTATAAAGTAATATAGCAATGTGTGTGTATGTGTGTGTCTGTGTGTGTGTGTGTGTGTGTGTGTGTGTGTAATTTTAATTTTAATCTTGTAAAATAAATGAATTATAAAAATCTTTACGTTATTTTTTTTTACAGAAATAGCATATTGCGATATTTATTTATCGTCTTGATGGCAATTGTATCGACAATTTTGACATCTCTTGTTACGGAGTTCAAAAAAGGAAACTTGACATATAAGGCATGGGTACCGTTCGACTACTCATCCTTTGTTATATATATTCTCGTATACATTCACCAACTGATAGGCATGGCAACCTCCGGTATAGTAAATGTGGCTTGCGAAGGTGTAATTTGTGCACTTTTGTTGCATATTTGCTGTCAGCTTGAAATTCTGGAGTATCGATTAACAAAAATGACACAAAATCAAGACATTCTGCGCGATTGTATTTCTCATCACATTCGTATTTTTGAGTTAGTTTCTTAAACAATTATGTTACTCTAAAAGAAAAACGCTGATATATTGTGCATCGGTCTATAAAACACGATTATAAGATGCAAATTCACAATGATATCCCAATAATTTTAACAGTTACTTGTAGCATAATCAATTGACAATTTTCTGTTCGATCGCAGATATGCGTACGCGGTGAATAATATGTTTGCGAAAATAATCGCTCTTCAATTCGCGGTGAGCATGTTGGTGGTGTGCTCGAATTTATACCGATTAGCAATGGCGACAGATTACGTGACCCTTATTTCATTATCGTTGTACACAGGTGCCATTCTGACACAAATTTTCATCTATTGTTGGTTTGGGAACGAGGTCAAGATGAAAGTATATATCTTGTTTAAAATAAAAATTAACTTTGCTATTAAATAACAGAAATTGCTATTAAATATCATTTAAATAGCTAAGAGAAATATATGATGTGCTTTTCATATAATGTGTAATATTTCTCTGATATTCTTTTTAGAGTCTTCAATTGGCGAATAATATTTATAATATGGAGTGGTCGATGCTTAATAAAAGCAACAAGAAAGGTCTTCTATTAATTATGAAACGCGCCACAATTCCCATTGAATTTAATAGCATGTACATAATCACGATGAATCTTGAGTCATTTGTAGCTGTTAGTGTCAGTTAAGGGATAAAAATTATTATTAAATAATACAAATATCCCAGATAATTTTAAGTATGTTTAAATATATCTATGCAATTTTTTACAGTTGCTTAAGATGTCATACTCGGCTTTCAATTTGCTGCATCAAACGAGTGAATAATAATAACATTATTAATGAACAAAAGTGTTGTTATTGTTTAAAATCAAGTACAATGTTGAAGTTGGTAATTTTATACTAGATAATTTTCGAAAAACTTATTAGATATTTATTAAAAATTTTAACATTTTTTTACTGTTAACGTGTAAAATAGTATTAATTTTTTAAAGAAAAATAGAAATTATATAAATTAAAGCACTATATTAATATTATATTAGTATTGAGAATGTAAGTAAAAATCGTTACAAGCATTTTTAATATTTCTTTCCTTTTCTGTTTTTCTATTGCGTTATATAAGTAAGATTTTAAAAAAATACTTTGCAAGAAAAGTCTTCTAATAATTATGAAACGCGCAACGAAGCTTATCGAATTTAGCAGCGGATACATCATCACAATGAATCTTGTGTCATTTGTAGCTGTCAGTATCAGTTAATTAAAATGAAAATTATTAGGCATTACTCAATGCTGTAGACATCTCAAATAAATATAAATTTACTTGTGCAATGTTTTACTGTAGTAATGTTGCCACATTTAGCTTCTTACAAAATCACAGACATGTTAAAGATTCAGAAATAAATTATTACCATAAAATTAATCTTATGTGAAATTTTTACTCAGATTTTTTATTAGAGTTTATTTAAAAATTGAATGTACATAAAAATGTATCATTCGTTAGTTTGTGTAGAGGAATAAAATTATAAATTAAAACACAATATTTATGTAGTACAAAAGATTCTTATTAGTGAATAAAATTAGAAACAAATAGAATTATTACATATATGATATTTCTGAATTCTCTTTCCTTTCATATCGCTTCTTTATTACATCGTAGATACGAAGTTCTATCGATTTTTTATTTTTTACTTTGAGCAATCGTAGATTGAACATTGTTAACACAATTTAGTATTAAATTTTTCTTGCCACAAACTTATTTTCCTCGAACGCACAATAATTCTTGTTCAATATTATTTTATTACACTAAATACATCTAACGTAATATATAAAAGATAAACGCAAATGTCTTAATATTACATTATTTCAATAGTCTGAGGTATTATAATTATTTATAAATATTGTATATTATGTATATACTTCTAATATATAAATGGATATGAATATCAATATTCTCTGTTCGCTTCCATAAATTCTTTTCACATTGGAAGACAAACGCGCAGTCAGACACACGTACATACACGTATAAATACACACATTATGTTTAAACAAATACTGAGCCTCCATAATAAAAAAAATGAGCACTAATTAACGACTCTCGAAGTGTTTATAATATACTGCGCCATCGTATAGTGTGATCCATTTATGTATTTTAATATTATTAGTTTTTAATTATGCACACACAATTTTTCTTTTCATTTATTATGCCACTTTCTGTAAAATTGTTGTCATGTTTAGAATGACAATGTTCCAGCTTGTCAATTAAAATTTCTTTACCCATATTTTTATAAAAAGTATGTTTCCACAAATAACTCTTAAAATACATATCTGTTAAGTAGTGTAACATCTTTCAATCGTTATTGTCATAACGATATCGTCATCTTGTTAAAAAAATAATATTAAAACACTGTAATTAATTAATATCTGTATTTAAATTTATTTATTAAATCAGATCATTTTGATATCTCGTTTATCAGAATAACGGTGTCTGTTAGTGAATTAATGCAAATTAAAATTTATTCACAGTTGTTCATATTTCATTGTATATGTAAAATTGTTGATCAAGTTATGTGGAAAATGTCGGCGGATCACAACAAAACGAACGCACTTCGGTCGTTATATAGCATCTACAAGCGTCATCGTTCTTCCAGATTTGATTTGTAGATCGGTCTATTACTGATCTTGCTGGAAACTGTATTGGTCCTAACTTGTAGATACTTTGGCCTCTTGTATCTCGTGCTCCAATGTAAGTAAGTGTACCATCCCGCTATGAAGACGCCTAATCCATTGCAAGTGCATGAGAAAATGAGGAGGATCGTCAAGATATTTTCTACTTCGGGACAATTAAGATCCATGTATCTGGTGAAATACACAAAATATTATTTCGCATGCATTACACACTGATACATTATTAATGGTATATGCGACAACATGAACGCTATGTTATTCTTTGAAAAAGCACAAGTTCCAATATTTTCTATCATTTTTCAAATACTTTGAAAAATTATAATATATCAATCTGAGCCAGATTTTATAGCATACCTGACTACACCTTCGAGTGAATTAGTCAACTCGTCACGTGGCCTGCATATGCACGTGGCATTCAATACCCGCGGCGGAGTACATTCCAGACTCATGAGACGCGACAAGTGCATCGTGGAGAATATACATGCGCTCATACACGCGACGGTCGCCAGCACCGCCAAAAGCACACTAAGCACCTGTTTGGGAGAAAGTAAGTGCGATAACATGTCAAGAGATAATAATACTACATTTTTGTGAATAATTATATATAATTATTCTGTCAAAAATCATAAAAGTTACTAATGAAATCAAAATAAAATTAAAATCAAATTGTTTCTCTTCTCATGATAAAATTTTCAGAAATATTGCGATCCAAAAATATGATAAAATAATATTAGAATAAATCATAATAGAGATATTATATTTTTTAGACTACATTTTCTTAACAGTACAAAATATATCATGATAGAAACTGAATGAGTAATAAGCGGCTGGACCTTGAGATTTTTTTAAAGAAATCTATGATGACTCATTTAGAATTCTTACCTTCGTACCGGAAAGACAAAATCCAGGATTCATACCCGGATATTCCTTCTTGAAACAGCATAGAAGGCAAATCCCGAAGCTTCCCGACATCAGAAGCTGAAGATAATGAAATTGAAATTATTCAACCAAACAAACGCAAAGAAAATATTGCAAAAGATATAGCAATTCATAAAGTGTTAATATACATGGTATACTTACATGTTAGTAATTACATATATTTCATTTATTGTAAAGGAGCATTGTATGTGATTATCATAAGATTGTGAAATATTGTTAGTGAAATTTTATTGTAGACAAAGATATTAGTTTTATCAGATACTTACCTTTGATTAGTTAAAGTTTAAAGTTGTGAACTTTATAAAAAATATATCATTCGAAGCGGTTATTGCAAATCAATGCAGTCGTCAATAAATGACGACTTATACATTTAATGTTAATAAGAAAAATAGTAGCACATCCTTATAGAGTATAAAATTCATGGTTATATCATATTACATATACGAGCGTAGTTGAATAAGTAAGTGTTGGTGCACTTAGTCTAATAGAATTATTCATCTTGTTAGTCAGAACTGCCATTCTATGTATTATATTTTTACATCGTCATGATGATAAACGCAAATTCGACTACAGCATGAAATCGTGATACTTACAGGCATGCCGCTCCAGTATGGATTGTCCGTGACAGGAAGGTGCGGTGCCCAAAGTAGCAGCCATAATGACAGGGAAGTCACCGCGATGCCGAAGATGGTTTGCAACGCCGCCAGGCATCGGGCTATTCGTCGATGATACACCAAAGGAGGTAAAAACTTTTCCGGGCCTAAAAGTAAACCTATTTTTTAACTTCCGTGCTACAATACTATTTTTAATAATCCGTATACGATTATTAGGGATATTATTTTCGTTGATAATTACAGATTTATGTGGAATTTACCGGATGATAATTCCATTCTAAATATCTTTCATAACAACGTTGCAGATAAATTAAATGTTTATTTAAAAGATATAAATTGATATTTTTGATAAACAAAGTATTAAATCATTCATAAAGGTGAATATAAGATGAAGTCATATGGGAAGAAAGTTAACCATTCACATTGCCGCCTTTACTCTTCTACCGCGATTTATATCTCCTTTTAGTCATCGTGGGATTATTATTTCGACGATCAACAAGAGTCGATAACGCAACTTGCCACGTCACATGTTGCGAGAGATTTTATCTCGCAAATCTCCCAGGCTTCAGAAAGATTTCCAAGCGGTCGATCACCTATTAGGTAATTCGACATTGCAAAGAGACATGCACACGCCGTTTATCTTCTTTCACGACATACATTTTCCCGCGGTGTAAACGGCCGATTGTCGACCGATACCCCGTCGAGAAACTCGTGTGGAAAGAAAAAGAGTTTCCGAACAGAACGGCCTCGTCACCGTTCCTCCTTACAAGGCATCCTATAACCGGGTGATCGAACGTAGCGTCCTTGCCATAGCAAATCGCCCACTATTATCGTTTGCGCAAGATTTCGCGACAATTATTCTTTCGGAATATCGAACAGAAGCGATTGCTTAATATGAAAATTTTACAACAACCGTTTCCCTGTCTTATTATTTTCATCATAAAGTTATAATAAAGATTTAATCTATAAACAGAATTAATTGACGCTGAAGAAATTAGCCATAAATATAAGTTAGATTAGATATTAAAAATTCTCTATGGTAATGATAACGGATTCTCGTGCATAAATAATGGCTCGATCAATATTTACAGATCAAGTAAGAAAAAGAGTGATTAGTCGTACAACGAGTAGGCTATCAAAGGAGTAGAAAAAATTACAAGTAACTTACTTTGATCATTTCTGAGAAATATATATATATGCTTTGCGTCTCACATGCGTGTAAAGAAAAAATTTTATTGTCACGATATCTACATAAAATTTTAACGTCTCACGGTCATCGTTGGACGTCGAACCGTGAAAGATGCGATACGTGCTCCAAGTCGGAAATGAAAAACAATTTTTACTCGCGGAATTGCAATGCGGGCACCTGCCGCGCGAGGATTGCATCTCGGACGAGCTCTAACTGTACCGCAGATACGCGCTATAACTTACGAATAAGGCAAGGTGCAACCGCAGAACATAAACGCCCATATGGTATGAGAACGCCGTAAGTCGGTGAAAATAGAAATCACACAGTCAACGATACATAGCCGGCTTTTACCGCATACTTACTCTCTCAAAGAGATGGCATAAAAATATAGAATGTGCTATATTAATACTGAACATGCGAATTATAATATAATAAAAAAATCTCTTATCAATAAAACAAATTTTTCGTTTTTTTAATAATTATTATACGTGCTTCTAAATTCTTATTACATATTTGAAATTGTTGGTGCTAAATTTTATTATGAAAAATAAGTCTTTACAATATAAAAAATGGTTTTTTCATGGATTTTTTGGATTGTTTTTAATATAACGAGCAAAATAACAGCCACAACCGTTAAGTAGCGGATATTGTTGCTTCTTTGAGGAGCGATTCGCACAGTAAAGAATGCGGGACATGAATACGTCGTTTGCATTGTGCTGCCTCGCCACATGTATGCCGTATTTATTGCACAATGCGAGAATATACCGGTGCGAGCATAAAAGGGAAAAAGGGTCGTACCAAGAAATCAAACGGCGACAATGTACGACAGAACGAATCACTCATCACTTTTAATTTAATTACCAATCTATTGTTGCCACATCATTAATTAGAAAATGCAGCAATTTGATGTGGCTTATACAGTGTGCCGTTATATAATTAAAATAAATAATTAAAATTATTTCGCACTGTATGTCAAATTTATAAAGAATGAAATTATTTAGCATCGACATGTATGCTGCGACGCAATCACCGCGTAAGTACGCAACTACCTGTAATTTGTCTTCGTCCGCATCAGGTATCGAACGCATTGACTACGTGAATGACCTCGCTCGTATAGATGTGAACGTAAACGCATGCATTATAGCGGAGAGCCAACAATGAGCAACGTGGTCCTCGTTGATACGTCGTTATAACCGGCAAATTTGCCGCAAAGTGTACAACCCACGTACACGCGTAACGTGGAAACGTACTGGGTGGTACGTTTTCATTATCCGCTGGCCTCGCTGCATGGATAATGTTAATGATGTGGCTTGCGCAAGAAGAAACTGGCCGCGGGATAATTGGGTGATTGCACTCTACCGATAATCATCAGCTGCTTATTAGAAGCCTTCAATTCATTCTTAATTAATTATTCAGGATATTCGGTGGCCACCTTCAGTTCTACTAATTTTCTTTTTATATTTTTCATGCTATACTTCAATTAATTAATATGCGATAATTCAAATATGAGTTATACAGAAAAATTGTTGTAACATTTTTCGTAAAAGTCTACAATTGTTGAAAGTTTAGCAATTTTTAGTACGATTATTCGACATTTCTGAAAGAAAACCAAATACGGATTACGCGTCTAAAGACGCTAAAAACTGAGCGTAAAAATAGCGAGCAGATTTAAAAGTCTGGCCCGCCTGGTCCCGAAATAGAGCTAGGGTCGCGTCAAATGTATGAACGACTCTTGAATAGGGCAGAACGAAATTATTATGCGTACACATTTCATCAATTTCGGCCCTTTATGAGCACGTATTGCTTGCGCAAAAGAATGCTTTCCTCGCAAAGGAATGAGAACGGTGCTCATTGTTCACGTAGCACGCTGTTTCTTTAGAATTAGAATTTGAATATAAGCTATATATGCATATATATTGTACAATAGTTTATGTATAAATATATATATTAATATGTGCAATTGATTTTTTTTTTAAATTATGAAGATTTATAATTCAATGTAATACATTTTTTGACAAGGAAGTTTTGCTCTTTGAAATTATAATCCAATGAATGGGAATTATTTTTCTTAAAATCAAGAGGTGTAGCGATTTTAAGTAACATCCCATGTGGGAATTTCATACATCAGACTAGTATTAGATACTGGCGAGATACAGATCCAGTACCGAAAAACGGGTTTTACATTTCGGTACTGGAATAGTACAAAACCAGTATTAAAATATATAACAATGGTTTAGTACTAACCCATTATCTAAATCGGTATTGAATAATGGTACTGAAATGGTATACTGTCGGTAAATTTACGGTACTGTATCTGTACAAAAATTAATAAAAGAAAATGTCAAATGTCAAGTACCGAGACGGTATACTGCCGGTAAATTCAAGGTACTGTGCCCGTACTGAAATTGGCAAAAGGAGAGCGTTGAATGCCAGTACCGAAATGGAGCAAAGCGAGAGAGAGAGGCAATTAAAAAATACAATGAATTTTTTACATTCGCGCGCCAAGTTGTGACTGCATATTTCGAACGCATACCAAAAAGATCACGCGATATATTTCCGGCCCGGTACTTCCGCTATCTACGGGGAACCATGTGCATCCACTTTAAAGTATGGTGGGTAACGAAGCAAGAAGCGCTTAAAACGCGGTGGATTACATAGACGAGGGTAATTCAAGAAGAAAAGAACGAGCGCCTATTTCGTACATAAATGCGGAAATATATTATACTGTTAATATAAAATCCACATAACGTTTTACGATTATGTTCTTTAATTATATTTTTCTCATTTGATTCAACTAAGAGAAGCGTAACGTACATTCATAAGTAATTTCGAAACATTAATATTTGTATTAAAAATTTTATTTAGACAGCCGACAGATATTGTCAAAATCTTTTTCTTTTATATTGTAATAATCTTTAACAAAATGATATTTATATGTTAATATCTTTTAGATCCATTTCGCGTACACTGCTACGCATATAAAGCTTATCCCGATTTTTCGTCCGCCTCTTTAACGTAAAAGCTTCCGTCATGTGCATCGCGTTTTCATCACTTTTAGCGCCTTCCATTAGCTACTATATGCCGCGCGCATTTTACGCTATCTAATTACCGCGGTGATAAAAAGTCGCTGCATTTTTCTACGTCACCACCTACGTAGTGCTAATTATAATTTTCCTGTCTGCCTTGGCAGCAACCTCGATCCTGCCGATTGACCGACAACGATAGTGCGCATTAAAAGCGACAGTCGCGCGCTCGTTACTGCAGAATTAAACATATAGTAGCGCTGTGTAAGTAATGTGTCAGTGTGAAGCGACAAGGCGATTATCGAAAGAAATCGAGAAAATCGAGCGATACCGGGCCGGTCGCATTCCGTGGCTGAGAAACGGATTACATGTTGCATTCGCGAGCGCGCGCGATCTCACCTTCGGGAGAAATTGATCAAGAATCGCCGCCTATCGTGAAAAGCAAATTATACGGTAATGCGATTGCATCGGATTGATAAAAAAGAGCTAAAAAAAGACCGCTATTTCTTCGCGCTTCACGGTTCTTCGCCAATTCCGCGCATTCTTGTATATTTTCACCTAGATTCTTAAGTGCTTATAATTTTTTGCGATCATAATACATGGTATGTGCGGCGATAACGAACGGAGAAAGAAGAAATTACTGCATTCTAATTGAGAGCCGTAAAATTGCTCTATCAGATGCATCGCTTTAACGCACAACGCAATGAGCGTATGATGTTCAAATTATTTTGAATAGAATTGCATACGCTTTTTTAATAATATTTAAAGAAATTTATTGAAAATAAAATTCAGAATTAAAAAACTGAAAATAAATATTTCTTTTATGTGGAATTCGAGAAAAATAAGATCAGCTGTTATGCTATCCACTTACGATGGCCGGTCCGATGCATCATGATCATCCTGCTGTGCCTCAGAGAATTTCGCGTGGGCGTATGTCGACCGGCTATTTGAGAAGCGGCTAGATTGACAGGAACCGTGGTTGACAAGCAGTTTGCCATCGAGGGTGCTCGATCGAGCTCCTTCTCTTTGTCGCCGCGGCAGACTCGCCCAATGTTCCCGGTTGACACTGCACCTGGCAATACAGTTAAGTTATTCAATAAAATATCAATTTTATCAAAGAATTTCGATAGAATATGAATTCTACTGAACGTTACATGACAAATCTATCTTGTTCGACAAAAATACGTTAAAAAAATTTACGACCGTTAGCACGCGTCACGATATTTCTCGTGTATATATTTTCACGAGTGCTTATATGAACAATGTCAACGAGTTTCACTTTATGGAATATTATTTTAATCTTTTAAGCGTTCAAACGTTCATGAGCGCGACTGTAATCGAGCTGATACATATAATTATAGAAGAGACGTTTGCAATTTCCTAAAATTCTTGTTATTAAAGAAAACATAAAATTACTACAATTATTGAACATCTGTTTCATTTTGAAATACATAATTTTCTCAGTGCAAGCAATTTTCGTGTGCGTGAACATTGCTCCCGAAGACGAGCGACGCGGCGCATACGAGAATTCAGGACGATAATGTTTCGCACGTTGAAAACACCTGAAGTGGAACAAATAGGTCAACCTAACATAGAAGATTAATATACGGTGTGAATACATAACTGGTATGAATTACATCCGAGTTATTTATCTCACACACACATTAATCTTTTTATTTTTATAATTATGTTAAGCTTTTTGACTTAAAAGACAAAGATAGAACTCATGATAAAATATTTCAACAACATCATTAAGAAGACAACATCGTCAATCAAAAACTAATTTGTGTAGCAATGATTATTCTGAGTTAATTTAAGATTAATTTGAAATTGAAGATTAAGTAACGCTTTACAAAAAAGCTTTCGAACATATTAAGAAAAAGAACTCGAAATACTAATTACATTTTTAGGAACTATTTTATTTATCCATAAATTACGCGCGTTAAAAAAAGCTATACATGTACAAAGCACACCGAAAAAAGTTCATTCAACTCACCCATAACTTTGACAGTGTGAATCTTCGATACGTTGCCCGCGCTAATGGCGCTATTGACCCTATTGTTATTATTGTTGCTATTGTTGTTGTTATTACTTTGAGACATGGTGGATGTGCCATTGCCGTCATGATTCAAATTGCCCACGCTCATAGCGGACGTGACGCATGCCGACATCGCCGGTACGTCCTGCGGAGTCGAAAAAAAAACGATCGCGTTAATTTTGGCGAATGTCTCTCGTCACTTTGAGAAGAGGCAGAGAACTGTACATAGTGTCCAAAAAAAAATAAGTAGCGAAGAAAATTGTAGTCAGTTGCTATTCTTAATATTCATGATACTATGCGCGTAATTTTTTAAATTAGTTTGTGCAAAACTGTTAATTTGCCAACAGTTGAACGTACTATTCACCTTAAACTTTCATAAGAGAAATATGATTGTACCGTAGATAAAACTAATTAAATGCTCTGTAAAATTTTGCTGTTAGATTAGACATCATTTTCTGCCGCTAAAAACGCGGAATGCGCATGCAAAACAAGTATTTAACATAAATGCTTAAAATGTAAATTTATGATAATTTTTACATTAATGCATTAATGCATAGCGAGCATCTGAATTATAGATAATTAATATCGATTATAGTGAAGAGCTTACATTGCTATGAAACATTATTCCGGCTTCTTCTAGCGGCGCTCTAATTACTATTTCTAGCATCGCAGAATATTTGCATTGCAATATATTCATATTTAATAATATGAGAAGCTGCTTTTATATCGTATCATTAGAACTCATTACCGGTAAGCATAATGAGTTTATAAACTTTAAGTTTCAGTGTATGTATATTTGCTCCGGAATACTGTTCAATTAGTATTTTAAACCATGCAAAAATTATACAAAGTTATGTAAAATTATGCGAGAAGTGTCACAGATTATAACTCCTTTTATTCGTAGACATTTTCAACTTGATTTTTCCGAAATTTAATTCATAACTTTTTTATTACTTAAAAGTTTTTAACATAAGAAGTAATTCTATTAAAAAATCAGGGACACTTGTTCGTGATTTTTGCCACTCGAGAGATACGAAAATCATCGGATCCATAACTAATGCCGATCGCGTTGCGCTGTCACGCGAATCTTTTGACAGTGCTAAAACACGTAAACAAAGACACGTGAATGAATTCGTACCTTGTAATTGTCGTAAAAGCTCACCGGCCGACTCTTCGGCGCATACTGAATCTCTTCATCGGGCTGCATCGTGCTCGTGCCGTGAAACGGTGTCCCTAAGGGATGCGCGCGCAACACGTAGGACGTCCTCCGTAGGTCACTCTCCCTTCTTCCACCACGTCCGGTGAATCTGCAAAGGTGAGCACAGATGGCATAACGACACGTAATGAGAGCACGATTAAGCATCGTTAATTAACGCCGTTACATGATAATTTTTTTATATTCATAAAAAAAATAACAATTATGTCGTAGATAACAATTATGCTTTGCACCTCTTAAGCGGAAGATTGTATCACTTATATTAAATCACTATATCAGGAAAATATTACGTTATTTTAGCTATTTCGGCTATTAAATTATTTATGTAATTAAACGTGGAATTAAAAGAGCAACAGAATAGAAAGCATGCTATCTTAAATTTGTTGAATAGCGTTATGGAATTTAATAGACAAAGAAAATTTTATTATAAAAAAGTAAGCATTTATATATGCATACATGCATTTATATATATTTTGATTAGTTTGAAAGTATCATTATATAAGTAATGTAACGTAAATGTATTTCCTCAAAATGAAATGATATTACATTGAATTAACAAAAGTATTAAATTCTTTTATTATATTTTTTATGATTTGATCATTTAGCTAATGTATGTATAATATATGTTATGGACAAAGTGATGATGAGGCATTATGCATAATGCCCGAGACCAGTCGGGCAGAGTGATAAACATTTGTTAATTTATCGCTTTAATCAGGCAATATAAATAAAAAAAAATATATATATATATGTATATTTATTTATCACTCTGCCCGACTGGTCTCGGGCATTATGTATAATGCCTCATTTATCACTTCGTATATAATATATATCTCATCATCGTAAAGGCCAAAATGTTTCGCGAACGTAAACATGTTATTTCCTTCTTTCCCGGATGTTTTCATCAGTTGAAATAATGACCCGTGACAATTATCAAAATGTTGTTTGGGTTTGTTTCTTTTTCGTCGCACACACTGCCTCCGCGGAAGCATACCTGACATGAGTTCACAATCGTTATACCCTCCACATCGGATGTGGTCAGATGACTCACCATGCCAAATCAGTCGGCAATTTCGGAAGGGTCCTTTTTCCTAATCCCGTCCGATGCGTCGTAAGTCACGTACTAGAGTTGTGAGAGATGCGTTTGTGCATAAAACAAGGATGATCAGGGATAATAGTCTTGCGAGACGATACGAAATAGAAGATTGACGATTTTCCCGACATCCGCATTCACGTGCTCGGTCACGTGCGTTGCGCATCCGTCACTCCATAAATGTCTGGAAAATTGAGAAAGATTGCCCGCGTGAGAGTAGCTTTGATCGGCGTCGTTTATTTTCAAAGGTCATTCCTTTGAAGCATGACTGTGCTCTTCTCTGCAAATATCCGATTACTTCGATACATCTTCATAAATAAATACTATTCTTTCAAGGCAATTGAGCTGCGTGGGTGTAATAATTTTTGACTGTATTACTTAGCAAAAATAAACATTAATTAGCCACTTTGCAAGAGTCCACAATTTATTGCTCAAAAGTGAAGCATTTTATGTTTTAATAAATTAATCTATTTTTTACATGAATTAATGATTAAATCATTCTTTTATCTAAGAATTTAATCAACGTAATTCATAAATAACACGGTGTTATAAACACAGAACAAAGCTGCGAGCAAAGTACGTAATGCAGTAGTACATAAAGTGAAAGGAAACACGCGAGATTAAAACATCGCTTTGTAAACAATAATAATTCCGCTGAGGTGTTACGTTTAATGATGGAAAGAATTTCCATTTTACGAAGGTTATTTCGCCTTCACAAACTATCTCACGAGCCATCCCGCTGTTCACAAGAAAAATGCGATATTTCTTTGTGGAAACTCCAATACGAATTATGTTAAGATGGTCTTAGCATCTAGGCAAGCTTCTGCAGTCTTGCCAGACGCTTAAGTGCTGATGAAACTTTGATTCCGACTTAGCCCCATGATTTTCCATGCCATTAGCGCGAATGATGTGTCGTCATGTATATTTAATGCGTTTCCAACAACAGCCATCGCTTGAATGAAAAGAATTATTTTTTAAATTATGTTATTTCTAATTTATCTAATGAGGCATAAATATAAAAGTTTAATACAGTATTGGTACATAATTATCTTAAGACGATATAAAATGTTATATTCAACTTTTTACAGAATCGTAAAGAAATTAATGCAGTAAGAAAATTTAATGTTATATCAAGCACTTTCATAAATCTTGCGTTTCTCTACCAAGAAAGCTTTATCGCTTTTCTCCCATCAAGTCACATGTGAAGAGGAAAAAAAACAAAGATACGGTACACTTGACCGCCACGAAAGTATTTTTCATCTGAGGGGGCAAAATTTATAAAGGGGATACATAATACATTCATAATATGTATATATATATGTATGTAACTCTATTCAAACATCATATAATAGGCCACTCAGTGGGTAGTATAAATGTGCGAAAAATATGCACAGATTTTTTGTTCTAATTAACTTAATGCGCTTAATTTTCTTCGTTATATAGTGCACTTCAATTGAACGAGTAAATAGTCGAAAAAAAAAAAGACTCATTTTTCCACCTTTGATGTAAATATTTGATGCTCAATATTTTCGATCATGAAATACCTTAAAAAAACAGAAAAAATTTCAGAGGGGCGTAGCCCCCCCCCCTCCGATTCCGCGGCGCCTGCACTTGACATAAAAATCCTTAAAGACATTATGACGCGACACTTTGGAATGTAAGCTTCTCGACACAGATTACGATAACAGTTAAAGTTTTAAATCCATCTTAACACATATTCAGCTTGTTTCCTTACAATTAAATACTTAATTTCTGAAAGCGCAGCAAAGTATCGCGCTGATGATATCAAGATTTCGATGCTCGATAAAGATACTAAAAATATTCCGCGATAATGTTGAAATAATGACCGAGCATCGCCAAGTTTCATGATCGTTGTTGCGCGATTGAAGAAATAAAAATTCTCTTGTACAAGGCCAATTGTTCTTAATGTTACCGAGGACATACATAAGCAAAGTAATATGATACGTCTATGAATTTTTCGACGTGCTGCTTTTATTATTAGTATCCTGTCGAGTCAGCCGAAGTTTGTGCAGTGGAAAATACAAGAGTGACACATTTATATTCTTTATAAGTTCTTGTATTACTCTATACAAATAGTATACCTAAAATCACATGAAGAAATTAAAGACGATAGATCTGAAAAATTCATATTTATATAAATAAGCATTTATCAACATTTATTTAATCAAAAAACTGAAAAGTGCAATTATTATTTATCATGATTTAAATTTATGCAGGAAATTATTAATCTTTTTATTGTATTATAAACTGTGAAATTTGACAAATTGTATATATCAAAGTTGTTGCAAAAAAAAGAGCTTGCAAATTTTAATACATTAAGCACAGAAAAACAGAGCAAACGGAATGAGGCTTGTAGGACAATAAGTTGGTATGAGCGATGCTTAAAGGGACTTAATGGAGAAATAACTTATTTCCAGCTGTGTAACCCGAACAGCCAGTCAGTAGGTAGGTCATTGGGATCTAAAGAATCTCTCACACTACCAGAGATTATCGTCAGTACTTTCATTATTCATCTATCGCCGATGTAAAAATTCTATTTATAGGACAAAAAATTTACACTAACGATGACAGTGTTTGCTCGGCTATTAATAGCGATCTTGCGAGGGCTCAGTAACCTCCGTGTGCGGTTTTATTGCTTTGCGTATATTGCGCAATGACTTGGGATCTTGCGCTGTGAAAGTAAAACCGCGCTCACAGTACTTCGACAAGTATGATGACGACGCTGCGCTCCGATGATCAGATGAAGAAAAAGAATAGGAATCTTGACGTAATCATATGCTATTGCGTGTTGGGTATCACCTGCATCACGGATTGCTGCACGTAAAAATATTATTCAAAAGTGTGAGGCAATATATGTAACTGCAAAATTAACAATTCAAACAGTAGTTAATTAATATAGCAAAAGTTTGCAGAATTATATAAACATTTTACGAGAAACTATGTATGTTTAAATAATATTAAGTCTTAAAATCAAGTTTTATGTAACAAGAATAAAATATAAAAAAAGAATTTTTGTTTAATACATTTTGAGATATATATATTAATATAAGTATTATTAAATATGTTTGCAAAAAATTGCACGCAAAAATATACATTTGATAATAAAAAGTTATTTTTAATTTTATACTTTTTGAAATAAACGTGTTTGTAAAAATCTATTTATGTATTGATATAACGATTTCAAACGTACCTTAAAGTTCTATTTCCGTATTACGCGGTACCATAAATCGGGCAAAACAAAATCTACCAGAGGGAAAGAGCGAACAGAAGCAAGTTCGCTAAATTACATAATGAAGGTATGGTTTTAACATAATATCTATTAAATAAAAATAAGACTCGATTAAACAAAAAAGAAAGAAAATTAATATGATACAAAAAATGTCGATATAAAAAAATAAAAACTCTCAGAGTACACAAAATCTTGTAAAAGATTCGATCGTATTTATATGATTTTGTCAATCTCTTATTATTTTCATTGTTATTTTTTAGTGTATTTATTCAATTGACATTTTATATATAATGCTAGATAAAGCAAGAAGAAAACGAGCATTCGACGATGCTATCTTTTATTATATTTTTATTGCATAATTTGAAGCGGAATCATAAATTAATGGTTTATTTGGCGCATTAGGCTTTAAAAACATGTTTAATGCTTCTAAGATATCATGATCACTATGTAAACTAGGTATGTAGGCTGCTGACGTAATACGCGATAACACGCGATTGTTGCAAACGCAACAGTTTCCTCTAACAAAAGAACAATTACGAGAATTTAACTATAATCAGACAAGGAAATTCAACAAAAGAATGTCTTTTTATGTACAATCAAGCAATAATTAATAATTGTCACAAAACCGGCAGTCATTATCGACGTAAGACGTTATTCTTCCTGTTTCATTTTTTCATTTCGAAGAAAACACGTGTTCCGACGAGACATAATAATATATATATTTAAGACTATTATATTTCAAAGTCATTTTTTGTTACGTGACGTACATCTCGTGACATCTACAACAGTGTAGTTCATCGTTGATTGAAACGTGAAAACAAAAAGCTAAGAGTAATTGTGAGTTTCCCACGAAAACTCGTGATCATCATCGTGATCAACTAAAATACATATATAAATTGTTTCGTAGCATGATGATACAAATCTTATTTCTTCTCTTCAAAGAAACAAAAATTTGTAGAAGTATTTAATATAAACGTACGTTTGCAGCAGATCAAATACAACAAAAATTTTTACGCAGTTGTGTTGTTCGACAACACCTCGAGTGTTGTTCACAATTTACATTAATTTGCAACAAAATTGGATTTGTCTGAGCGCTCCATGACACATGGCATATTCTATCGTAATAACATTGAAGTTATTTAAAGTATTGTTATTATTGTGTGGCGTAGCAGGATGAAATCAATAGGTGCAGTCAAAATGATCAACAGATGCAGCTTTCTAAATCTTTTTGTTTCCTTTTTAATAGATATTAAATAACTATTATAAATATTTACTTGCGATAAAAAATTAAATTATGTATATATATTTTCCTACAATTTTAAAATAAAAAATAGTATCATGTAATATGTCGCGCAATATTAAAGAGTGAAAGAATATGAAGCCTTATAGGAACTATATTAATTTATTATTGGAACACATACTCTCTATTGCGATATTTTCCGATAGAAGTGAAACTTCTCATGCGTTGCGTGTTAATGCGTACAAAATTGTTAAGAATCATAGTTATAATTAACGGACGCGAGAAAGTAGCGATCGCATTCTATCACGCTCGATTTTCATTAGATATCCATTAGACAATCGTCGTCTTTGAATCCACTTTAGCCTCTCGCGTACGTAATTAACGTGCGAACATTTGAGAAATATTTGATATATCAAATGTAGAACGTGTGCGTTTACTAACCCGAATAACACACGGCTTTTCTATTTCAGAGCGAAACCTGTAAAACTAGATCAAATAATTCTATAAGGGAAAATAGCAGTTACACAGTAAATTTTACGTTCATGTTTTTTTTGAGTTATAAATGACTCATTCGACGATCAGACTGTCACATTAAATATGTCGTAATTATCATCTGCGTCATTATACATTTCATCGAGTTTCGTCAAATTTATCAGCGACTCTGGCTCAAGGTAAACTCGAGATGGCAAGGTCGAGCATGACCAATGAATCAAATTCTGTCCGTTTGTATGGCGAGATCGTTTTTAGCCAGACGCAGTTTGTAAGAGGAATTGGTATGTTGCAATCACATTTTTTGCATGGCACGTAATCATATCAGTGTATAAAAGTGTCGCGTGTGACATCAATTACCAAAAAATAAACCATCAATAATCATCAGAAAGTTCACATTCCATATACCACAAAATAGCAAAAGTTAATTACAATTTTTTTCAATTAATTGTTTTTAAAGTTTTATTACAGATGTTTAACAATTATCATAATTTAATTTTTCTCGTGCAAAATATATTTATTTCATCAAGAAAGATTTATATTTATATTTTTATATAAATATAAATCTTTTTCGATAGATATTTTAGTAAATTATAATTAAGCCCGTACAATTTAACACGATGTAATTTCTCTCATATCGAATAATAACAAAATATTGACAGATAAAAAATCTTGTTATAATTATTATGATAGCATAAACTTGCGCAGCGCGTACACTTGTTTTCAATACATTATCGCTGTTTTCAAAATGTTTATTTTGTCTCGAATTATTCGATTTTGAGATATAAACAATGTTGTTAAAGCAAGTTAGCACTTGCAGCATCATTTTAATGACATTTTATGATTTTAATAAATCTATTGATCAATATTTCCATACAAATTGTATTTTTGGGACATCGTCTCTCTTCTTTACTTCAAAATACTTTTTAATAAACCTAGGATATTTATCAGAGTATGCTTATCAGAGTAAATTCCTACCTTGACATACATCTTGCGTAATATACTTTATTTTAGATCAAATTTTAACACTAATATCTTCCAATCCACAAGCAAACTATATTAAAAAACTAAACTGCCAAATTTCTGTATAATTCATTGCTCTATGAATTGATTATGTACTTGCACACGAACCATTCTCAACAAAACTGGTAACCACGTGAGACCGAAATTAGATTTCAGGTTGATTCCCGAGAAATGCCAAGACGTTTTTTTTTTACTATTTTCACACTGCGACACGCTTTGGACACAAATATTCTCGTGAAAAACGATCCGCACCACTGTAACAATAATTGGAGCGTTCTCCACAACCGGTCGTTAACCGGCAGACCGACCATAACACGCAATGCGACTCTGCCGACGTCGTGGTGACAACTGAAGGCCCACGTATATAATGCATCGAAGCGAGGCTGAACAGGCCCCACCAGAGAGTGTGTCCAAGTCGAAGTCGGGTGTACCAGGTGTGTCAGAGCGTCTCAAACCGGGGGAATCCTGCCGGCAGGTGAGAACGACCATCTGATCTCTGGCCAAGCATGATCGCTCGACCGGCAAAGGTAACCGGCGTTCCGGATCCGTTTGCATTTCTCAAACAAGCACTTGCTATAAAAATGAAGAGGTAAGCAAAATCATTAACTATTTAGATATATCAGCATGTAGAAGATTACTTCAATAAAAAATGGACAACTTGGGAAAAATTATTTCTTTAGTAAAGTTTGCACTTAATATTAAGTTTCCTTTACTTTTGCATTTGAAATTTTTCTCAAAAAAGAATTTAAATAAATAATAAAGTTTCTGAATAATTAAATTGTACAACTTGTACGACAGCTCTAAGACGATAAACGTGCAAAATTTCTGACAATTTAAACAGCTTCTGAATGCGTTTTGAAAACGCAAATTTGCAGTTTGTAGAAGAGCAATGTAATCTGAAACGTCGACGTAACGTATTTATTAATATTTATTGGTTACCGATTTAATGGAATGCTAATCAACATTTTTTCAGAACTGAGCACCACTGTTGTTACTTTCACGTCGCTGGACGTTTCAGGCTTGATGAAAGAACTTATGGAAAGTAATAAAAGGGGCAACAAAAAGGGGTTCCTGTCTACCTTGAACGGTGCTCCGTCTATCTTGTCCTTCTCCAAATATTTTTTATTCTATTATTATTTGATCCTCCATTTGCTTCATCTTAATTTCTTTTATTTGATAGTTGTCTTAATGATAACGCTAATTGTTTACATGATTTTTTAACTATTTTTTAAAATTTATGATTGTTTTAATTCATTTTAAGTCGACTTTACCTTTTAACACATTTTTAATATCTTTTAATATACATAACAGATCAAATAATATCATTCTATTTTTAAGTGTTGTGCAAAAAAAAAAAAATCTGGATTATATTTTATTAATTTTTCTAATCAAAATATGTATAACATTATAAAAATATTTTGTTTAGGTGCGCGTGTATTTTGTGTTTCTAATTTAAATATTCTTAATTTAAAACTGAAATAATATTTAAAACTAAAAAAGCGTTTGTGTTAAACAGCAACATATGGTTCTAACTTATTTAACATAATACTAACTCAATAGAGTATGTCTAGATTTTTTAGAAATTCAATTCCTCTACAAATAACTGTAAATAGAATTTTTCTTCTCTCACTTCGTTTTCTTCAATTGCCTCATTGCAACATTGAATGAATAATAAGTGTTACGAATTGGACGCTTTGTTCGAAAGTATACCATGCACGTGTGGCTTTTCCAGCATCGTGTTTCGTAACGAAAGGTCGCCGACGAGGATCTTCCTCGCTCAGCTCATTAGCGTAGTGAATTAGTGACTCCGGTTCAACGAGCCTTCTAGAATACGCGTTCCATGAGAGGCAAAAGAGCATATTCGAACGAGCACGCACATGTGTGTATGCACAGAAGGAATTCCGTCCCTTGTCCCACGCGGATAATCACTATTCGAGGGTTGGAGGCCTGGACCCCAGTGCATTCCAAACAAGTCCGATTCGACACCAAGCGGTCGTAGCTTCTGGTTGGGTCGACAGGAAATCTACGTTCAGCAAAATCTCTTTACGAGAGAGTACGAACTTTGTCGATTTACCCTCTGCGAGTCGAGTAATAACATTTATCATAATTTATATGAAATGCAAGGGAATTGTTTAGAGAAATTTAGATAAGTAATGATTGTTAAATTTTGAAAACGAGATAGAAAAGTTTAAATTTTCAAGATTTTTTTGCGATATTAAAGCAATTTAGTTTTTTTTAAATTACCTTTTTTGGATTGGTATTTTACTATGATAAAATAATTGATTTACAAAATTATTCAAAATTTATACCTATGCATATATCAAGTAAAAAAATTGATGTTTAAAACATCATTATCAGGATACGCGTTCTTGTGCAATCACATAGCAGCCTTCAGCTTTTGTTCTTTCGATATCGGCGATTTTCGAGGGGAAGAACAGATTCGATACGAATACCTGAGAGCAAAACCGGTCTCTCGAAATCATCTAGGTGGAAGATGCAGAAGAATCGCGATCGGTCACGATTGTATAAAAAACAATTTCAACCAACGGACTATGGTGTGTGATGTGCGGTTCATTTTTAATGCTGACACTGGCATAATGTCGTCATTGCTTTTCCACCCAACATCTCATTACATAGTCGTGCGGACGTGGACTTTCGTGCCGCGTGAACCAATCTGCGAAAATTAACACTTGCGTTAAGTGTCATGAGCTTTCAGCCTGCGTGTGGGTTTAAAATCTATATTGTTACAGTATTTTCACGAAACACACACAAGATTCTATTTAAATGCACATTAATCTTAACTTAAATATATGTGTATGATAGAAAATGTATTTCTGGTTTTAATGTCTAATCTCTATTTTTAACAAAAGCATTTTTAATGATTCTTATTTTTTTTTTCCTGGAATTATATCGTACTATCAAATGCATTTTATTATACTTTCTAGAGGTCTTCATATATTCGCATCGTTCATTCATGCATAGACGATAATTTTACACGTTAAAGTAATAAGGAGAAAAATTTCTCTGGTAAATTAGTCAATAGAAAATAGAATACTAAAAATTGAAATATATTTTTTACAAAATTGTGTTACTACATTACATAATTATTCAATCTTGTCATTTTTTGTTTAAAACAAACACTTGCTTTTAAGAAGAAAAATGTCTGTAGAATTGTTTTAGAATGCAATAGCGAACGCGTTAACTTGAAAAATTGCAGGCAGTTTATCAATCGTACAAAAGTTGTAACGTACATATACTTTTATTTTACTTTAACACACACAAAGAAACAAATTATATACTATTTATATAAAATAATAAAGTTAATAACGTTTAAATCGCATGACTAGTATGACTTCTAATCATCGACAATATGAATATTAAATATGTTATATATCAAAATGATAATTCTCTTAGAATGAGAAAAAATTAATTAATAAAAAGTTATTCTATCGGTTTATACTAACATTTTATTACAAATATATATTATTATTTTTTAAAAACAATAGATTATATTTAGAAAAATGTTATTGTAAGCAAAAATAAAAAAAATGACACATTTTTCTATCTAGTGACAAAAATTTAATTGGCAGCATTGTAGAATGCTCAGTTGCGCGACAAAAATTGAAGAACATGTGTGGCCGAACTTGCTGGTGAGCAATTTTATCATTATTTTATTGTTTATTACAATAATTAGTGCGTGATATATTTTTTAAAATAAATATAACATTATTAATTTTCAATTGCTAATGAATTGAATTGAGCTCTTTAGAAGTAAAGCTGATTAATTTCACTTTTTATAAATTTCTTAATCTTACAATGAGTATCGAAGTACATAATTAATATGAATATTTATCAATTTTTTCTTCTTTTTATTTTATTATAGAATTGATTACTTTGACACTTGAAAAACTCAGTTTATAGTGTCAATATAACAATGAGAGAGATATTAAAGCAAAGCATTTATAGTGTATTTTTTTATAACTGTTCAACAGATATCACTTTTGAAACAGATGACAATTAATAATGATAATATACATTTTTGTTGCAATTTTATTTATCTTTATCTATGCTCAAGTGTTTTAAATTTTAGGTTATGCTTTCTTAGACTCCACAAACTTATTACTTTACAATTGTATTATATTATTTTTTATTGTAAATAATTATCATAACTTTATAACTACATTTAGAACAATGTGTTACAAAGAATTTTATAGATATATCACTTTTAATTCAACAATGAAGTTTTTTTAGACTTGTTACAATTTAGCTATACTTAGCGCAGAAAGATTATAATTGATATATAATTGATATATAAACCATATTTTTACAAAATATTGTAATTTACAGTTCATTGGACCCAGACACTTTGTGTTGTGCGTGTGAATATAAAGACATTAATGGTAAACAATGTAAACCGACATGGGCTAAAACTGACAATGAGGTAAACTATACTCCATCATATAATATGGGTCCACGAGATGTTCTGCCTTGTGTGGTATCTGGTTCCCATTTTCAAGAGGAAGAGGAAAGAGTCCTTTGCCCTATGATGTGGGGAATAATTCCACCTTGGCATAAGGTAAGTTAAAATACTCTTTAACGAAATAAAATGTAATAAAACTGTAATGTAACTGTTTCATATTAGCTTGTTAGTTAAAATTAATTTTGCTAATAAGTAAGAACATTTTTAAATTGTTTTCCTTGATATTAACTACTTGAAATTAATTGTTTTATAGGGAGATTACAAAAAAAATAAATTATCTACGCATAATGGTCGTTTGGAAAGCATAGAAACTTCAAAACTGTACTCTTCGTCGTTGCAAAAGCGACAACGATGCATTGTGGTTTGTGAGGGCTTCTATGAGTGGAAAGCTGGTGCAAATAACAAGTCTCCAAAGCAACCGTATTATATATATGCAGCTCAAGATAAAGGTGTTAAAGCAGATGATCCTATAACATGGATAAATGAATTTTCTAAAGCAGATGGATGGAAAGGTTTCAAAGTATTGAAGCTGGCTGGAATATTTGAAACATTCAAAACTGAGGAGGTAAACAAGCTTCTTCTTATTTTTCTAACAGACAATTTCTTAGGAACAGTAAATCTGTAAGATATTTAATGTTTTAGATGTAATTAAGATATTTAATCTGTAAGAAATTTAATCAATATTGAATGTTTTATCTTAGGGAACACTCATATATAGCTGCACAATTATCACAAGAGAAAGCAACAAAATTCTATCTTGGCTCCATCATCGTATGCCTGTATGTTTCAGTAATGAAGAGGAATGTCAAGTAAGTACTTAACTGATATTGTTACATATTATTTGCAGAAATATATATGAATTTATATAAATATATATACTGTTATATACTTTGTTCATCTATTTTATAATACATTATTTTATTAGATGTGGTTAAATACAGATTTACCAACAGAAGAGGTTATTTATCGATTAAATAACATGATATTACAAGAAGAAACTTTAAGTTGGCATCCAGTATCTACGATTGTTAATAATGTCTTCCATAAAACTGCCGATTGTAGAAAGGAAATAAAACCAAAGTAAGTATAAATTTAACAAATCAAAGATAATACATTTAGTGTTTCACAGAAACAAGAATTAGAAAAATCTATATATTATTTAGAACTATCTTTGGTTGGTTTTTAATATTATATGACAGTGAGATAAGAAAAATTAATTTATTATTTTATTGTACATAGGGAAGAAAAGAAGAATAGTCAAATAGCATTTATGGCTTCTTGGTTACAAAAGGGGTCAGCTCCTTCGAATAAAAGAAAGAGCACAGATAATGACACAGATGTAAATAATGAGAAAGATGAAAAGATCTCAAAAATTTTAAAAACAAATTAAAATTTACCGAAAAAGTATAAACTTTAATTTTCTGTTTGAATTTTTGAGACAGAGACATAAAATTTATGTATATTAATATCTTTAATTTAATTATAATTAATATATTGAAACTCAGGATACAACTACCTCTCATAAGTGTACTTTGAATTACATAATATATTTTTCTAATAATTATAAGTTTCTTAATAAAATATTTTAAACTACATTTGTTCATTATTAAAAAATTCTTTTAACACATATCCTTTTTGTGATTGTATACCATTTAGAATAATTAAATTATAAAATTCTTTCTAACAATTTTTTGACATGTATTGTTGCAAAGTACGTAAATTTCATATAATACTTATCTCTTTTTTTATTTATTACAGAATAAAAAGAAAAAAACATTTTTTATAAATAACTTCTCGTAGCAAATTACATTTTTCACATTATATTGATTCAAATTTATATAATTATTTATTTATATTTTATATTTATTAGTTTTATTACTTTATTTTCTATACAATGAACAAATAAGATGAATAAAACCACATGAAACGAATAATGGCGGTAGCGGAGAACGAATAGCCGTTCGCAACGTCACACGAAATCTTGAAACTTTGCTCTACAAGGTTGGTAGCACACGAGCGGTTTCGCGCCGCGTATGGTTCCCGTTGCAGCGCATCCGCGAGTACGCGCAGTTGCACATAGTTGTGCGCGCCGCGGCGGACCATAGGTTACGTGCATAAGTGCCCCCCCGCAGAATCGCTGCTCGTGTTGCGCGATTCCTCGTCGTCGTTCTTCCGTAATTCGGCAACGGGGTCGACTGTTCGCTGATAGAAAAACTGACACATGGCACGTTGACTCAAGGCGGACAGAATCGAGTGAGTGATTGAAAGAGTGCGTGCCCAGTTCGTCGTGTGCACGCGCGCAGCCCAGCCTCTTCGTGCGTGCGTTGCGTTGCATTGCGTTTCGTGCGTTGTGCGCGTGTCTCCTTTATTCTTACGAGGAATCTAGACGCCAGCGAGCTGCCAGGATGACCAGCAACGAGCAAACGCGTGAGCAGGCAATCAGCAACGTCGAAACCGAGTACCACGAGATCAACTCTAAGAACGCTTGGCCGATTCTCTATCAGGTGAGAGGAGGAACGAGGGTGAAGAAAGAAATGAAGAAGAAAGAGAGGGCGAGGAGAGAGGAAACGGTCCGCTCTTCCGCTCGGCGACGGTTCTTCCGCTGCCGTTTCCGCGAGCGGACGGAAATCGCGCGATTTTAACGAATAACGTTGCTTCCCGATTGACACGTCGTGCCGGCTCCTCGTA